AGGGGCGTAAGAGAGTAATGCGAGTGAAAAAGATACAAGGGAAAAATAAGAGCACACAGTTATTTATACTGGTTCGGGTATAACCAATTCTACATCCAGTTCTCAGTCAACTCTTAATACAAGAGTGACCCCAATTCACTTTTTTTTTTAATTCAGTTCACAAATTACAATCAACTCAGCAAAAAATAAATTAATTTAAAAGACAATCACCTCCTTAGAAACCCACTAAGGATGAACACCTCCCTAGAATCCTACTAGAGATGAACACCTCCTCTGAACAAATCAAAGGATGAACACACCTCCTTAGAATCCCACTAAGGATGAATAACTTTCTAGAATCCCACTAGAGATGAAAAACACCTCATTTGCCACCAATACACAAAGGATGAACATCTCCCTAGAATCACAATAGGGATAAACATCTTCTCTTAATAAATCAAAGGATGAATAACACAATTAATTAACTTAAATCTCTTAAACCCACAAAGGATGAAAGAGTAAGATAAGAACAGTCATCCACAAATGATGAATGTAATACAAATAAGAACAGTTACACCTGAGAAATAGAGACAACAAATTGTAGAAGTTTGTAGAATGATAACCTCCAAGAACACAACATGATTAACAATGAAAACACATAAGGCAATAGAGAAAATGATTTTCTCAAAAGGTATAAAATATCATCTGTTGTCTTGCTCATAATTATTTTCTCAAAACTAATTGAATGTAAATTGTATTTCAAGTTATGTAATTGTGTATTTTTTATTTTCCATCAAAACTTAATTAAATAGAAAAATAACATTAGAAAATGGTTGTTGGACATTAATATTTTTGTGGATAAAAATCAGGATATATTAAAAAATATTTATTCTTCAAAACATATATATTTTTTAATTTCGAACTACTATAATCGATTATCTCCTCAGGCATAATTGATTATGGGGTAAAAATCAATTTCTCAATTCGATGCATCATAATCAATTATGACGAGTAAGAAATGTTATGTTATAAAATTTTATCATACTTGTGCTTTAGAGACTAATGCATAATATTACTTCATCAACTTGTACCTCTATATTTAGTATTCTAAGACTCTATCTAGCCTTCATGAATCATCTTGGACTTCCTTAAATGTTTAATAAAATCATCATCAAAATCATCTTTTTGGAATGTAGGGACATGTTTTAGATTGTGATCAATCTCTCTCATTCCTTTCATTATATTATTTTATTTCACTTATGTCTCAATTTTTTTTTACATTTTTTAATTAATTTTATTTTTTTATCCTTTTAATCAATTTAACAAGCAAAAACGTAATACTAATTTATATTATTTTATTTTTAATTTATATGTAATATTTTTTTAATTTTATTATTTTTATTTGTTATATATTAAATTTTATTTAAATAAAAAAATTATATTTAAAAAATTAAAAATAATAAAAAATTAAATATTTTATTATTTTAAACTAATTAAATAAGAATTAAATTATTATATATTTTCTTATAAATTATATATTTTATATTTATTAATATTTTAAAATAATAACTTAAATAATAATAATAATAATATTATTATTATTAAAAGTATTTTATATTAATATAAAAAATTAAATACTTTTTTACATATATATTTAAATATAAATATAATAAATTAAAATATATATTTAATTAATAATTAAAAATTATAAATATTTATTTATATATAAAAAATATATATAAATATAAATTTATTTTATTATAAATATAATTATTTAAAAAAACTATGTAAAACAAATATAGGTTAAAAAAAATAAAGAATCTAATAGAAATTAAGAACAAAAATAAAGATAATTAAAAAAATGAAGAGTAAGGAAAAACCTACCCGTCCTCTCGTTTTCATGCCTAAAATAACTTTATTATTTTTATTTATCCTATATCAAATTTTATTTTAAATAATTAATAATTACATTTTTTTATTATTTTAAATTAATTAAATAAAAATTAACTTATTAAATTTTTTCTTATAAATTATATATTTTATTAACGTGTAATATAATATAATAAAAATAATAATATAAGTATTTTATATTTATATAAAAATATAAAATGTTATATATATATATATTATAATATAAAGATAATAAGTTAAAATATATATTTAATTAATAATTAAAAATTATAAATATTTATTTACATATATAAATATTAAAATTATTTTATTATAAGTATGGATAAACTTTTAAAAGAACAATAAGAATAATTTAAAAAAAATCAAATTATTTATAATACATAATTTTATTTTATTTTTATCCATTTTATTTACTTTGATTCTTTTTTTTCTTAATTTAAATAATATAATTTTTTTATTTTATTCCTTTTTTATTTTCATTAATTCATTCTCTAATCTACACAATGAATAAAAAGCTTATTATTAACATACTTGATAAAAAAAAACTTTTATTATTGAAGAGATAAAATGTCTAAAAAAATGGGTTGGAATGTGGAGAAAAATGACAAAAAAAAAAAAAGTACCGTTAAAAGATAAATAAAATGAGAAATGATACAGTTATTTCAAGAGTATAATAAAAAAATGAAGTTATTTAATTTTATAGAAAGAAAGTGAAATAATGTGAAAAGGTAAAATAAATATATTTATATTTTAATAAATTATTTATAATTTAAATACTTTTTATTAAATCATACATTATTATAATATTTTTAAAGACAACAAAAATAATTTAAAAAAAAATTGATACATGTTTGATTATGTCCTTTGAGACATAATCCATGTTCTTGGAAGGTTTGTTTTCTTTGTAAATCTTCACAATTAGAGAAAAAAGGTATTTTTATTAAAAAATAGTTTGATAGTGTCTCGTTTTTACACTTTCTTTACAAATGCTTCCTCTCCCTATTTTTTTTCTTCTAATTGCAAACATAATTTTCATTATTTTTCATTGTAATAACATAACTATTAAATTAAAAAAATAAAAATAGAACTAAATTTGCTACATTTATTATTCAAGTAAAATATTTTTCTAAATATATTAATTAAAATGATTTTAAATTTTCCAATTATGTCTGTATAATCTCCCAATTTTAACTCTATTAAATTTACCTTTTATATACTTATTTAAATTATATATATAAAAATGATAAGCATTTATGTGTAATATATTAATCTTTTACATTTTATTTAATAGCATATTATACAAATGGTTGTCTTGTATACCATCTAAAATAATTAAACATGATAGAAAAGTTGAACACAAGTACTTATATGTACAAATTGATAGACAAAATTTGTAAGCATTGCTCGAATTTAATCTATTAAATTATTAATGGTTAAATTTTATTTATTTTTAAATTAAATCACGTGACACAGTGTAAGAATACCTAATTGGTGGTAAGAGAAGGGTGAGGAATAAAATGAAATTAATAAGGTTTGAACATAAAATCATTTCATTATATACAAAGTAATTTAATATGTATTTAAATTATATTAAATAATACAAGATAGATTACGTGAGAGTTATTGGATTAGGTGGAATAACCTAATATATTTAAACTATATAAAATAATATGAGATGGACGATATAAATTTTTTAATAAAAATAAATAATAAAAAAATTTAATTAATTAATATTAAATAGTTATATAATAACAATTTTTTACTCAGTTATTTGTTCCATTTTATACTAAAAAAATTATATTTCTAACTTATGTCAAGTTTAATATTATTAAATATCTTCAGTTTAAACCCAAACACCTATTAAATAAAAATAATGGTAATAAATATTTATTGTAGAAAGAGAGTCTATACCATGAGTTAAAGTAAGAGAAGAAACCCAATAAGAATAACCTGAGATATTTAAGTTAATTAGGATTATTTTATATTTATATATTACAAACATCTATAAAATCTCCATATATTAACTTATTATTTTTAATTTACAGTGTATACGTACGTCTTACAATTATTTATATAATAAATATTAAACTTACTTTGATATCACAAATTTTAATCATCTAAATTAATATACACTATCCTGAATATTCTATTTCATTAATATTTATTTTAAACATAGTAGATATTTTTTAAAAAGAAATTATTCTTAACTCACATACTTATCAGACAGACAAACCTTCACTAAGTAGATATTATTGAAGAAAGAGAAATCTCTAAAACGTAAAAAAGAAAAAGCCAGTCGGTGGATAAAATGTATTGAAAAAAGAATTTTTTATAAAACGACAAAAAACAAATCAATGAATAACTTTATTATAAATAAATAAGTAAAATAACTGTATAATAAAAAGTAAATCTTTTTAATTTATTCTTAAAATAAATAATTCTCTTATTTAAATGTATTAATAAAAAAAAATTAAACTCACTATTTATATTTATATTATCTTCGAACTTTAATTCAATTACTTAGAAGCCCATTCAATTTATATATCTTATAATCATTGATATGAAAATTATTGATCAAGTTTTACTGATCTCTAACCACATGATACAATTTAAGAATACTTAAAATTATACTAGATTGTAAGTAAAAAGTGTAAAAAAAAAAAAAAAGAATAAAACTATATTAATTTGTTAAAGGTGACCTAAAAAATAATTATTTAAAAAATATTAGTAAATAAATATTATTGTTTAGTATCAAACATAAAAAATAATGAAAATCATAATTATTCGTTAAAAAAAAACCTACAAAAATAATTATATTTGTAAAAAAAAATATTTTTTTATTATCAAACATAAAAATAATTTCGTTACTCATGAAAAATAAAATTATATCTACAACTCACTCAAATTAAATATTATTAAATCTCTTCAGTTCATACCCAAACACCTTCTAACTTTATCTCTCTTACCAAGTCACCCTCCTCCCCTTTCATATATATATCCCCTCTCTCCTCGTTCTTCTACCCTTCCAAACCCACCATCTCTCCTCAGGATTCCATGGCACTGTGAATTGAGGCTCCAATTTTTCCAGACCCAAATCTCTGTTCCATCAAATGGCTGTGGAACTCATGGGGTTCCCCCAAATCGACGATCAAAAGGCCATCCAAGAGGCTGCATCGGAAGGCCTCAAGGGGATGGAGCACCTGATCCGAGTCCTCTCCCACCAACCCTCTCACTTGAACACCGACCTCACCGACGTTACCGTCTCCAAGTTCAAGAAACTCATCTCCCTCCTCAACCGAACTGGCCACGCCCGGTTCAGACGCGCTCCGGTTCACGCCTCTGAACCGGTTCAATCCCCCGCGCCTCTTCAAACCCTCGCACCGCTTCACAATTCCGCATCCGCACCGGTCCATCTTCCTCCTCCGCAAAACGCGAACCTCTCTCTGCCGGCGCTCTTCGCGTCGCCTGCGCCTGTTCACCACGCGCCGGGGAGCGTCACGCTCGACTTCACCAAGCCGCACAACGCGCTCAGGAGCTCGAAGGCGAAGTCCTTGGAGCTCGAGTTCTCGAAGGAGACATTCAGCGTTTCCTCCAACTCCTCTTTCATGTCCTCAGCCATCACCGGCGACGGCAGCGTCTCCAACGGCAAGCTTTTCCTCCCGCCGCCGCCCCCTGCAACCTCAGGCGGTAAGCCGCCGGCGTTCAAGAAACGCTGCCTAGAACACCGCGAACACTCCGATGACGTCTCCGGATCCGGCAAGTGCCACTGCGTCAAGCGAAGGTACACCGCGTTTCACCCGATCGTAACTCCTCTCACAGCTGTTTGACTAGAACTGTTAGATTAATTAAATAATATAATATTCATCGCTTAAATTTAACTCATAAATAAGAGCATTGATGATATACTAAAAAGATGTGTGTCATATCTACTCAAAGTATTTGACCTGACTATGAAAAATGAAACCTCTTCCCATTTTAAAAGTTTAATTTGTTTGAGAAATGAAATTTTCCCAGTTTATTTATTTAATCGTCCAAAATAATTTTGACTAGCTAATAATTGGATCTGTTAATCTATGTCTGTCAAACTTTTAATAAAATAAAAATTACGGTAAAAAGTATTAAAAACTAATATAATGGATTTACACATAGTTTAAGAAAAAATAATATTTAAAATTTTATTGTAATATTTGTCTTAAAAATATATAAAATTAAACTGTAATAAAAAAAATTAGTTGGCTGAGAAGTTATAAATTTTAACTGTTGATTAAATGAATAGTTAATATTAAAATGATAAACATTAAGTTTTAATAAGTACCAGCACAGCATTTAACTTTTTATCTGTGATTATGGTTATTTATATTTAGTTTATTGAAATTAATATTAGTAATTAATGATGAAAGATGATATTAGAAAAGTGAGATGGACGGTTTGATTAGAGAGTAATGTTATCTGGGTGTAAAGGGGGCGTTGAAGTGTTTTTCTTTTGTAACTAATCACGTGAGTGGGTCGCGTGGGTGGGGCAAGGCAGCGTTTGGGAGTCAACGATTTCGGTAGTGGTGCAGTTAAATGCATTAATAGGTACACCACGCGTGATAGTGACACGACAACATAGGGTTCCTGTGCTGTGCCTCTGTCTGGTGCCTCCCTTGTCAAGAAGCCAGTTTTTAGAAATTCCTGTCCCACAAACAACTCAGACAATTTCAACCTTCCCAAACTGAACCTTCTTTTCAATCCCTTGTCGTTTTTTCCTTCTCTCCTGTTAGTCCCTTTGACTGTTGACCTTCCATCTTATTTTTTGCACCCTTCCTAGCTCCCCCATTTCATTCTTCCACTTTCGATCGTTTTTAACTATAATAGAAAATTATTCATGTACTATATACTCATAACCAATGAATTAAACTCTAATTTTAATATAATTTTATTAAAAGTTAGTGAATTTATATGATATTATAGTTAAAATATGAATGATATAGAATGTGTGACTTTGATTGTTTTTTTTTTTAATTGTATTTAAAAAAAAAGTATCTTTTATCTGTTTCTTCAAGTGGTGATTATTTTAAATATTATTTATTTTATGTTTAATTAAACTATTCCAATATATTTGTTCTACCGGAAAAATATAATATATATATATATATATATATATATATATATATGATTTTTTTTTAATAATTATGATGCAATAATAAGGGATCTATTGAAAGTCCATATATATTTTTACCATGAGCATAGAGTGAAATGTATTAAATAATTAATTTTATTTATTTTTTGTGTTCAGGAAAAATAGGGTGAAGAAGACTGTGAGAGTGCCGGCGATAAGTTCGAAGATCGCCGATATTCCGCCGGACGAATACTCGTGGAGGAAGTACGGTCAAAAACCGATCAAGGGTTCACCATACCCTAGGTGAGTGATACTGAATTCTGACCATTGATTTTGTTGACTTTTCTGATTTGAGTTGTTCTCAGACGTTTATTTTTTTGTAATCAGGGGCTATTACAAGTGCAGCACGGTGAGAGGGTGTCCCGCGAGGAAACACGTGGAGCGTGCACCAGATGATCCGTCGATGCTGATAGTGACGTACGAGGGGGAGCACAGGCACGCGGTTCAGGGCGCGATGCAGGAGAACGCAGCCGGAGTGGTGGGTTTGGTATTCGAGTCAACGCAGAAAGTGGAATAAATAGAAATATTAAAAAAAAAAAGGGAAGTGGAGGACTTTTTTTAAAATTAGTATAATTTTTGGAAAGTGTAGTTGGAACCATGGTTGCTTTTGTAAATTTCTTTTATTTATTATTATTAGTATTATAATATTTAGTGTGATAGATAGGTGAAAATTGGAATCTCAAAGTTATTTATTTCTATCCTTTGCCAAAAGTCTCGATAGTAATGATTCTTTATGATTTCGTATTGGGAGGAGGTGGTATCCGAGGCAGCTTCACTCCGTTCTTATTTTTATTTATACTCATAAAATCAAGTAATCGTTATTTTTATTTTATTACTCTGACTTTGGTTAACTTATCAACTCACTCAAATTAAATGCCAAGAAATGATGACACATGTCATTATTTTCTGTGGAAACCCATTCATTTTTTACTAATTTTATGATGGCAACTAAAATGTAAATATTTTTCCTTTTGGTTTTCGTATGAATAGAATAGATATAAAGTGTTACTTTTACTTTTTCTTTCACCGTTCTTGATAACAATTCGTACCTTCAAGGGTTGAACATGGAATTCAAAGTTCTTCTTTAATCGTTGTTGCCTTTGTACCTGTCTGTCTGGTAATAAATTATTACTTTGAAAAAAAATCATGAGCTTTTGTCAGTTACTATTATGCCGTTCTTTATGATTGAACTCACTTTTCCAATAAATTATTATCGTTTCCAAGTTCAAATTTTTAAAGTAATTAAACAAGTTTTGCTGATTAAAAAAGTTATGGTTATATTGAAAGACTAAAGATTCTTCCCATTTTTCTTTTCAAAATGGTAAATTTTAAACTATAATAATTTATAGCTTAAATTCATTTAAGTATTAAATGATACTTCCCATCTTTATTTAATAGTTGATGAATTTAAAGTTAAATGATATTTTGTTGGCTGAAGGTGATAAACAATGACAGAAACTTTGATGGCACAGCACAGGGAGATACCTGCTCCCACCAGATATTTGGAAACAAGCAGTGCATTGCGCTGACGGTTGAGTTTGAAGCAGAGAGAGCAGAGCCAAAACACTGACACTTTGTGGATATAGGAAATCATACAAATTTAACCTATTATTCAAAAGTTTTGGTATTAATGTTTGGATCCTGTTATGCCACTGTATCATTCCACAAAAATGCTTTTTATTCAACAAAAAATTCACTATTTTTCTTAACAAAACAAACAGTAATATACAACATTTTTTAAAATTACAAATATACTCTCCATTTTTATTTTCTAAATAACTATTGATTTTTTAGAATAAATTGTTTTTATTTTTGTAAAATTTACCGTTAGATTAATTATTTTTTCTAAATATATCATTATTTTTAAGTATTATTTATAAATTCTACACTACTGCATTGATAAATTATGTATGTGGAATATAAATTGGATCAATCAATAATACGATAAACAATTTATTATTTTTTATCTTTTCATCTAATCTTACATTAATTAGTAAAAAAAAACTTATTTCTTGAGACTAAGCTATGAGAGGAAAAGTTTTTCCTACACCAATACTTAAGTTTAACATATGAGTGTAAAATTCTTTTAAAAAATAAGTAAAATTTATTTATTTTCATTTTCTAGATTCATGGCTTAAGCATTTATTCTACGTCATGTAATGAAAACTTATCTATATATTGTAGAATAATGATTTTTTTTTTAAGTTAAGATTCATAATATAATTTTTCAAACCAAAAAATTCTAGTGGTAAAATTTGGAAAATTATAGAAGTCATGAAGGGAAATTTATTTTCAGTGAGATGAGTAAATGTTTTAAATTATCTTGTTTCTCTTTTTTAATATAAATTATTATGAGTAATTTTGATAAAAAATATAATAATAATAAAGATATTATTAAAAAATAAAAGCTATTATAAAAATTAATATTTTTATTAATTTATATAAATAAATATTAAATACACATATTTTATGATATAAAGTATATTAATAGAAAGTGAAAAAAAATAAAAATAATACTTTAACATTTTTTTTCAAATCTTATAAGTAATTATAAACTATAAAGTAATAAAGAGAAAATGCTTTAATAATAAATCATGTAGGAAGAATGGATGATATTATAGTTAAAAGTTGGATACTGGGATTGAAATAAATAAATATTAGTAAATAGTGATTAATTTTAGTTTTATTTATTTTAGTTATTAAAAAATTAATTTAAATTTTATAATATAAAATAAATGAAATACATTAAAAATTTGAATTTATATATTATTTTGAGATAGTATGAATTTCATTATATTTTTCTCACTTTTATATTTTATGTGAATGATATACCTAAAAATAATAACCTAGATGGAAGCCAATCATTGATTTAATAAAAAATTACCATCAAATTGATAAGTTGATAAAAAGATATCACAAATCCTATATAATAAGAGTATAAAATTTTACTAAAATAAATTAATAATTCATGGTTGATATTATCCACGAAATTCTAAACAAAATAAATTAATGAATGTTTTAAAAGTTACTATTTATTTTTAATCTCAGAGTTCGATCTAAAAACTTATATTTTAAAAATTATCAAATATTATATATATATATATATATATATATATTTTTATTCTATGGATGTAAATTAAAATTGAATTAGAATATAATAATTTATTATATATGATGGTTGTATTTTCACGTAGGAATTAATGATATTAAAGATAGACTAACCTTTCAAAATAAACGTTTAGTTAATTAAATGTGAAAAAAAAGGTTTAAAATGAAAAACAAACACGCACTCTTGTATTGTTCTAAAGATAATTAAGAAATAAATAAAAAATACATGTAACAAAAACAAAATACCGAATAATTTAAAGTTAAGACTCTTTTTATATATTATTTCTTAATATTTGTTGTTAGTTCATATAAATAAAGTTAAGAACTTATTATATATTTATTTGATAAAACATTTAAACATAAGTTATTATTTTAAAAATTGATTGTGAAATTTGTTAAAATGTGAGATAAAACAATTTGTTTTTCTTTGAATGTTGAAGCTCCCAAGAAAATAAGGCAGCTAATAGATATTTTATTTCAAAGTCAAAAGTGGTTGACAAAGCTTGTTACCTCATAATTTCACATGAGATCATATAACATTAAACTTTTTAACGTGCCTACAACGTATTAGACCTGAAATTGTTGACCTAGGTGCCTGTCAGAATTTCAAATTTGTTTGGTCAATTTGTTTTATTTGAATATGTGGAACATTTGCATAATGCATCCATAACAACCCTAATATCACTTAATATAAACCATTTCAAACAAATTATCTTCATAGCAACCCATTCCACATTTTTACTTGTTTTAATTAATGAAACAATGAATATAAACACATAAACAAATTGTATTTAAAAATAAATTTAACTGGAATATTCAATCACTTTATTATATCTATTTTTAAATATATATATATATATATATATATATATATATATATATACACACACACACATTTTTGCTTTCTATTTCTTCTCTTAAAATTTAGTAAAAAAAAATCTAGCTTATATTTATTTTTTATATATTCAAATAAACACAAATTATGAATACGTCATAAATATGAATCAACCTGAATTCAATTTCATTCATGATTAAATATTGTGAATAAAAAAAATATTGTTACTGATTGGAGAAAGCTTGAAAACTCCAATAAAGACTCTCCATTAATGGATAAAGTGAATTAAACAACACAATTTTTTCAAATAGTACCCAAATTAGAAGTGTCTTATAATTAATTATCTATTCAATGAATATGAGCACATATATGATTATTTGTAAATTTTAGAGATGAAGTTTTAGTTTATATATTATAAATAATATTAAAAAAATGCTAGAATTTCAAAAGGTGAATTTTGTTATTCCATTATAACCAAATGAAATATGAAGAAATAATGAAATTACAAAAAGCAATAATGTATGCTGCAAACGCAAAAGCAGCCCAAATTTTCTTAAATGGGCCTAAGGTTGGAGACTTAGTCAGAAGAAAAGGATCCAGTATTTTAATTTTCTATTTTCTATTTTCTTCTTTTCCACACTTTGACTTTGTTGGTTCTCCATCAGAAGCTTGTACATTAAACAATAACACTTTGAGCAGAGGCATTTGCAGCAATAAAATAATAAACTAGTTTGACAAAAAGAAACTTAGAAAATTCAAAAACAAAATGGTGTTGACGAAGTTCACATGTGAGAAAATTGGAGGAGGATGAATCAATAACCCTAAACTTTTTGTTCACATGCATCCAACTTAGTTGTACCAGAAATTCTTGACTAACAAGTTAGAAAATTGAGTTTGGTCAATGTATGCATCCAAACATAACCCTACATTTGGTTTTGTTTCAATTCATCATACTTTGTTTGAATCGAACTGTCCTTAACCCCCACACACTTCTCCACTGTCAACATTTTTACGTTGTCAATGTTTCAAGACGTCGTTATCAATCATTACTTCATGTATTGGACGAATTCAAAAGTCGATGGTTAATTGGACACACCTAATCATTGGACCCTTGTACCTTCAACTAATAAAAAATCCATGGTTAAAAATATTTTCTTAAAAAAAAAAATCTTTTTATCATGAAATATATTGTGAATTTTTTTATATTTTATTCTTATATTTATAAATAAATTTTATAGTTTCATAATTAAAAAATTACAATACAAAATTTATATTGTGTTTCAATGAATATAATCAATTTATAAAACTAATCATTTAACTAACATAATCATTAATGTTTATTAATTAATAATTAATTTAAAATATATAATTTATCTTTCAATATAATGAATGCTTAAGTGTAGTTTATGTTATTCATAACTTTGCAAATATATTGAAAGAAACAAACAAGAAATATGGAAGGTTTCAAATAAATAATGGTAATGAATAAAGAAAATTGGAGTTATTAAGGATTGAATATTGAGACTAAAAGGGTTATAGTAAGAAATTGATTTAAGTAATGAATTGAAATGGTT